AATTTGAAAAGCAGCTGAAATTTCTCTCCTTCATACAGTGTGCCAGTTGCTCCCTCCATGTCTACAATCCACCTAAAAGAAATACACAATATTAAGATGTGTTAAACATTTCACTCAAACAAAAAGAGCAAAAAAATATATACATATCATCCCAACAATAAACCAAAACAAAGGTAGTGTCCCAAAAGTAAAACATTTTTAACTTTGCTTAGAGCTCAGACTGAAAACAGTTAAGGCTACTTTTTATGACCTCATAGAGTCCTAAACCCAGAGGTTAGTTAGCTTTGATTTGATCTGTTTTAACTACACTCTTAGTTTAAATAACCAAAGCCTCTAGCAGTTTAAAAAAAGATGACTGAGATAAGTTTAAGGCTGAACTGTTGCAAAATATTTTGAAGGTAATAGAGCAGAGTTATTAACTTCCTGCTGTCAAGTCATGAGGTTAACATTTCCTTTAAGAACAAGTCTGTCCTGTGTTTTGGGAGGAAATGGTTTTATGCAATACAGGGTTGTTGTTGTTGTTTTTCTCTCCATACTAACAGCACGGCTCTAGGGATGGCAATGTCAGTCGGTCAGTCCAGACTTCAATATCTAAACAATCACCGGATACATTGCAATGAAATGTACAGACATCCATTATGCCATGATGTATCAATTACTTTGGTGATTCCCTGACTTTTCCTGTAGCACCATCATGACATAGGCATGTAGTTTTGTGTGAACTGTCTCAACAGCTGTTGGATGGGTTGCCATGAAACTGGATTGACACATTCTTGCCCCCCTCAGGATGAATAGTACTAATTTTCGGCATCCCCAGGCTTTCCACTTAGCGCCATCATCAAATCAACATTTCAAAATGTGTCCAATCCTTAATGTTCCCATCAGCCCCAGCTGTACTCGGTCTTACCTGCTAATTAATATATGTTGTGCATGTAATGTTGTACATGTAAATGCCCACGCATAGAGCCATAGAGCGTGGCTCTAGACTCTTAGTCTTGTTGACTAATGATTAATAACATGCTCTTTTCATCACTGCAGGGATCCCATCTCAGTATCATTAAAAAAGAATCATACAAAATGTGAGCTGCCAATGCGGCAGTAAGTGTGTAATCAAAAGCTTTTAGTCTGACTCATTCCAGTGACATTCAATATTCCGCTGGGTTATTACAGTGGTTTAGTGATAATGTGATACTTTATTGATCTAGTGGACAAAATCTATTTTCGCTTCTGTAGCCAAGCTACAGAACTGTGCTGACTGAGCTGTGAGGGATTCAATGTCTTGCTCAGAAAGGGAGATGATTGCAAACACAGGGACTTGATCCCGGGTCTTTGGGATGAAGGGCAGTCTACCTTCTCAATTTAACCGAGAGGCGAGATGTTGCTTCATGGGACGTCCAGTGCACAATAATTATAGGGATTGCTTGATCACAGTAGAACCCTCAGAGGAGAAGAAGGAGCAATACTGATGGCAGCGTTGCAATCTCTGGCCTAATTTCTTCCGGGCTAGCAGTGAAGATAGGACACCAAAGAGACTTGTGGCTGTTGTTCGGGTTCATAGCCTTGTGTCTCTTTCAAATCTACCCTCAGGCACATGATCATTTCGGCCTACTTACAAGGTCAGTCCCGTTTAAAACATCGCCTTTAGAAAATCCAATGGTCAAAACGTCTGAAGGAACTCAAATTTTCTTCTGAAAGTAACGCTTAGAGGGAGGCAGCATCACTGTACATAAAGCTGAGTTACACCTGATGCAACCCACGCTGAACACAGGCAAGGACTCCAAGGACATTATGCTCAACTTGCTCAAATTCCCCATAGCCTGGTGATTATATGATCCAGTCAACAAAAATAACACCGAGCCATTTAGTGAAAGAGGGGGAAACTGAGTACACACATGAGAGACTCTGTAGTGCTTTAAAGCAGCTGTTTCCTTGTTTGCAATGGCTGACTCATTACAACATCGAGTTAAGCCATCTGCATTGAAAGACATTGTAATCTAACAAGCAGCACTGAGAGACAGAGTGTACTATATTAACAAAAGCTATATAACCAAAAACACATGGTCACCTTATCACTGTCATACGCACAGCCCTAGTGAGTCTTTTTTTCCCCTTTTTTTCTTTTTTTTTTAAAGGATATGGTAAGATTCAATGTCAAGTCGAAGTCCCTTCCTCCTCTAGGACACGCATGGCAAATCCCTACTACTGTCACTATGACGGAAAACTAAACCAGGCTCAAACACCTTTCAACATCGGAGTTGAAGACAATAAGGCACACCCATACATACCATCTCAAACCTGGGATGCACAGAGAACTCGGAAGCCAGCAGAACAGGTTTTGGAGACATATCAGTCATGCAAAACCCAAAACATTCATTCAGTCTGACCGGGACATTTGTCCTCCAGGAAGATGAAGGAGATGCCACATAAAGGACCTTTCATTGTTTTGTTTTCCTAAAATAACCACAAGCACTGTAACACGTATTGCCTCTTTAAGACGGCCCTGATGCTGGAAGACATTTTGATGAGCGCAACCAGGTAGTAACTTTCAAAGTCAACGTTGCAAGCCTGCAACTGAAAGACACTTGAACGACGGCCAGAAATGTGTCTCGAGTCCATTTACAGGACGCAACTCGGTCGATCCTCGCTGCTTATCAGACACAACTCCACTTACTGAGTTACAGTATTCACGGGGCGTTTAAGAGAACACCAAGAAAGAAAGGTCAGCTTAGGAGCCTCTGTTCCTTGCTACTCTAGTCCCAACTCCTCCATGCCAACTGTTAAATATTTTATAAGGATGAATAGTGACACTGCGCATTAGAGACACTCTACTGAGGGGCCGGAGCTGCCAGTCACTGGGAATGACCCCGATTCCTCCTCACCCTTCGCTGCCGAGACTCTCCTACCGCTTCCAACAGCAACCTTTACTGCATGTGCTCCCCACACTGCCCTGCCACAGCGCTGAAACACGACATTTAACAAAAGCCACACTGGGTTTGTGTTTATTCATAGATGCAAACCCTTCTTCAGTGACTAATGCAGGTGTAAGGTGACCCTGCCCTAATGTTTACTGCGAAAAACGCTGTAACAAATGAATCACATTGAGAAATAAGAGAGAAAAATACTTACTGTGTGATGGTGTTCTGTACACTTTTTTCGTTTAGAGTCATTCCTGGGGGCGGATCATTTTGCAGGGCTAATAATTCCTTTTGTAGCCTTTTCTGTTGGAGAGAAATGTGTTTGGGTTTCTACCACACTTATATGATGAACTGTAGCATCACGAGAATATACCCAACATAACAGAGGCAAATCAAATAAAAACAAGGATAGAAAATATAACCTAATTGCCTAATAATCTTTGGATTAAGAGCCCCCTAACCAAGCCACCGTAAAACATCACTGGATATCGTTTAATGACGGCACCATTGTAGCTAACGTGGAAATGTAGTTTACGCAAATCACCTCCCTGACTGATACAACCCGTTTACATATGAAACAACGTGAGACAGGTGAGATGTCCCGTTAGACATAAGCAACAAACCCGCTTCACCAATAGACCAATTTACGGGTTGTACGTTATATTTGCGGGCTTTTAGACGAGGCTAAATCGACAAAGCTATCTTAAAGAAAGCGATGCACCTGTTCAGCTCAAGAGGAAACTGGAACTACTCAATCTGCGCACCGTCTCGTTAGCTAGCTAACGCCAACCAAATAGCAGCTAGCGCTCCTTTTAAAAAAAAAAATATATATATATATAATTAATTCAAACTCGTAACCTCACATTCTTTGAATTACAATCCATATGTTACGACGAAGAACATACATCGCCACTCATCAACACATACATATATATCCGGGAAGCTGGTTTCGATGCTAGCCCTTGACTTGGTGCTGTTGATGATGATGTGCTAGTTGTATTGCTAGCAAAGACCTAGCGCTAACCCTGGACAGTGGAGGATAAATCTAATCGCTTTTACCGTAATGTCACCGCTGCTTCGGACAAATACGCGTGTACCTCAATTAAAACGGTTGATAAACTACCAGGAAAGACCAAACTGAAGGTCGGGTATATTATAAATATGGGATCGTTGTCATTTGTGTTCTTACCTGCATCGACGCCATGATGGAAACCCCCCTGCATCAGCGCAGAGTGGAGGACTGTACGTCAGGCAGTCACGTGAGACGAGGAGTTGTTTTGACAGAGGAAAAACAATCCCCCCCCCCGGGTCACCACTCACTCATTTTATGTCGTTAGCGGACCAATTTGGCAGCTTTACGACAGAATTACATAATATTGTGAGATAAATGTGGTGTTTGAGTCCACTGAGGTCACATAGGACATCAGGGAGGGTCAATGACCTCTGCCGAAGGAGGGCTGACCCGCCTGTCGTCCCTGATCCGGAGGTAAACAAATTACTGTTTGTGTTTTGGTTGTTAAAACATGATCACAATCAGTGAAATATTAAAAATACACTGATTAATCATAATATCCCGCAGCTAGATAGTCATCTTTAATAATACTATAAAATGGATTAATGTCTGTTATCATAGCTCCATCAACACACTTGATAAATGAAGTTTATTCTGTCAGCTTCCTTTAATTAACAATTGGAAAAAGAAATCCCGAGAAACTTGAATGTATAACTTGTTCAAACCCTCATACCTTTTTATTCTATTGGTCATAAAAGCTGGATTGTCTAAAAGCAGAGGAAGTATATTAATTTCTGTGTCAGCAAAGTTTATAATATTTTATTCAACTGAAGTGTAATTTGACTAAGCCTTCTCAAGTGACTACTAAAAAAAATAAAATAAAATACCTTCACTCTGTAGCCAATGTTACCGGATGTGATAGGAGCTCCCACCTGATATGGTTGACACAAGGAGACAGATATAGGCTCAGAAGAGACTTCCCACACTCACTATAAGCATCGCAGGAGTAGACCATACAGACACATGAAACCACATTTGTATTGATATTGCTAATATACGCTGAAGGACACATGTATGTTCTAAGCAACATTTATTGGGAATTATAAGATCTTGGCCATCAGCTTACACTTTAACTGTTAATGTACCCACATTATTGACTACCACCTACCAACCACTTATAAAAGTATAAACAAACCACATTTGAGATGTAAGACATTCTCATAAAGCAATTTCAACTGTGTTGTTGCCTCTTGCAATTACATCAACCACTGTGGTTGTTGTATTACAAGATAAACATTACACTGAAACATGAGTTTTTCTATCTAAATAAAACTGAATGTTGATTGTTTCCCAGCTGTTATTACATTTTTATCCTTATAGAGAATTCAACAGATTTTCTATTAGACATCATATCGTGTTTGATCAAGTGCATATAAAGAGTAACATTTTTAAAGTTATTCTCCGTTATATAAAACCACTAATGTTCAACACTGAATTATGTATTTAAGTGTGTGAAATATCTCTGCCAATTGTTGTTTGTAGATTTTAAAACATTTTGTCATGTTTTACTTGAGCTGGACTAAAACACACAACTAAAGTAGGATGTAGGTATTTGTGAAAGTGGTATTTAAAGTCAGTGAATGTGGCACTTCACGTGGAACAAGGCAACAAAGTGCTCACCAAACAGGTCTTTATTAAGCTGGAAAGGTGAGGAAAGATGTACGGGCGGGGGGGGGCACATTTATCACATTTTGAGGCAAGTGATGCATCCTGCCATATCCATTTATTACATTAAAAAGAAATTCTTTAATACTAATAAAATTATGACAGAAAGCCAGGTGCGGAAAAAAAAAACAAAAGAAAAAAAAACAAACTGAAGGTGACATACTTATTAACTCATGTAAATGGCAAAACAATTTAAATATTCAAAAAATCTAAAAAAATGTTTTAAGCTGCTACATTATCTCTGTAACTTTAGCAATCCAAAAAGTTTGCAGCCATGAGCAGTTCCAGTGCGATCTCCGGAGCGATGGGAAATTCAGGTATTTCTGTGGAGCTGTTGGTGTAACGGACCTTGTAGGTGAAGTACATGCAGACCTTGGACAGGACGTGAGATGGAATCTCCCTGAAGTTCACTTCATTGGTTTCGTTCTCAGCAAACTGACCTGCAGATGGAGGGTTAAGGTTGGTGTCATGAGTAGAAATTGAATTAAAACAAAAACAGTTGTATGGAGGCAGCATAGTGCCACCAACTGGACAACCAGTATTAACTTAATAAACACCAATGATTTACATATGATCTTAAACTACAGGTGATTTATTTCCCTGCCTTTTTAAATCTCAAGCAATTAAGCAAGCAAAGCACACAATGGAAACTAGGCTAATACATGAGTAGCGGTATATTATCATTTCAATAAAACCCTGTTCATGACATATTTAACACTGGGAGACAAGGTAGTCTACATATTGACAGAGGAGCAGGTCTCATTTTAAATTTGACAGTTATTTTTAAAGACAGAACTGCCTGAAACTATCCAGGCAAACTATTTTGTTCAACAGTAATGACATCAGTGTTGTATCTGCATCTGATAATAAAGTTGTATCCATCTGGGCAGCACTATTCCTTTCCACTCCAATTCTTAGTTTATTGTCTCTTGGAAGAGCAAACCTTGCATGAACTGCCAACATTTATCAAATCCTAGAACAAACAGAAGCTATAGTAAGTAGAAAATACCATGGGCAAATCCCCTGCTTGTTTCCGATAGCTCCTAAACATGTGTCACACTGTTGCAATATGAATTATTTCCATTCAAAGTGGACTTCCTCATCAGAGTGGTATTGAGTGAGCTGGGGAATATATTTATTGAGCATTGTGGTTTAAAGTAGAGTACCTACAGTGGATCCATACACACAGCTGTTCTAATGTTAACCAGACGCAGCCGTTTGCTATACTTCTACTAATTTGTCTGAACTCTCACCTGGCCCGCTTAACATGGCTTTGATGGTCCCGGATGTCAAGGCATGTTCTCTTTTCACAATAAATTCATGGCCATCTGAAGAGATCAATTTCACATACATGGCATCTGGCCCTTCACAGCCACCGTAGGTTCTCTCTTCACCATCTGTGAAGCAACACAAACTGACACTCTCAAAACAGGTGTAAGCCAAATGTTTAAATACCCCACACACACACACACACACACACACACACACACACACACACATTTGAGCAACTGTATTAACGCCAGTGACTTTTGGAGAACAGCCAGATTTTGCTACTGAAGAGAAACGTCAACAAATGACACTTGAGACAAGTTATGGATGGGCAAACATTTCTGGGAAGGTTACAGAATAATATATATATATATATATAGATAGATAACGTTAGATCAATTCATTACTCACCCATCTTGTTCCGAGATTTCTGTTACGCCTGAAAGGAAACAGACACATCTTATTTAGGACATCACGACTCTTGAACATATGATATAAAGTCGCCCGTAATGCTGGTATGTATCTTTAAACAGTCTCTCTTAGATCAATTGTCCGTTATCTCAGAAGCTAGGCCTTATTTTAGTGAAAATCACCGCATAACGTTTAACCAGATCAAATATCTACCAGTGATGTACTAAAACATAACCTGTCTATCGTTACAAATGACTATAACTGTAAGTTCTCAACTCTAATCCAGTTTAAAGTCGGATTAGTGGCGATGTCTTTCTCCATCCAGAATGTTTTTCAGTGAGTTCGCAGCCGTCTGCGTTAGCTAGCGTCGGCTAGCAAGCTAACGCCGTACCAAGCGAACGACAACGTCTTCATTTTTCTTTTTATCGACTGTTCAGTGTTTAAAACTCATATCGGATGAACAGTTCGACACACGACAACGCACAGCGGCATGAAATCCAAACACAACACTGTTTCTTACCACTCTGTAGTAGAATGTGGAGTGGATACTGCGTTTCAGCTAATGTTAGCCACCAGGCTGTTGATACCCGGAACTAGTTTTTTGGAACACCCGTCCGCGATAAATGTCTTCCGTAGAGTTTCATTTGTAGAGAGAATCGCCCCCCCCCATTTAATTTATTTACTCTACATCCTGCTCGTCGCAACAAAAAAAAAATGTCTGTTTGAAATTATTTGTGTCCCTCTTCAGTTTTCAGAAGACACAACACGTTTAATAAAACCATATGTTGTAAGTTAATCACAAAATGCGCAAATGAAAAACATGGGCAAAGCAGAGGCTATTTCTGGATAAGGAACATTAACACATGCGCCACTCAATATAAGTCAGTGTCACTGGATATTAAGTTTAGATAAGAGACGGGAAATAAGGATATGAATTTTTAATTTCAATAAAGACCTGAGATGACTTGTCAAATTTACACTGGTTTACAGGCCATCAAGGAGGAGATGAGATTCCCTCTGACGCCTATAGGGGGCGCTTGTGTTTCAGGTTACCCTCCCTGACTGGCTGTGATGAGTGAAAGCAGGTGCTGATTGGACATGACAGAGACATTTTGCAGGCCCATAAATCTGGATTCAAGAAAGAATGAGAGAGAGAAGGCATGCACTCTGCACTATCACACACTTTAAAAGCCCAGTGAGTAGAAACCCAGCACTTCAGAATATTATACTTTATTTTAATTAGAAAAGTATGGTAGGACAGTTAGAAGAGTATTCATGTTTTGATAGTGTTATAACCTTGCAGGGTCATCTAAAACACCCACATTTTCTAAACTAGACCATTAAGTTTGTTGTTTGTATCACCAACCAACCCTTACAGCTCAAGTATCTTCTAACAGGTAGATGGGTGTCAGTCATATAGATCATAGACAGTTGAGAAGCGGGCACATTCTGTTGTCACGGTCAGGTTCAGAATGTGACTTTGCCCTGATCCTTCCTGGACTTCTTTCATGCAGGAAAAGTGATGACTGTTGAAATCCGAGGCTTCCAAATGGACGCAGGGTTATATGAGCCGGGACAGTAAGAGTAGACTACTGAGCTTGCATGTAAATTGTGCCGTTTGACCCAGAGGTGGAAGACGGGAAGGAATTATAGCATTTTTTTATACTGTTGTTCATTTACACACACATATATAAGGGATTCACAACTGATTCACAGATGGGACAAAGTAGACCATCACCCCTAATGCTCTGACCACTCTTGTTTAATTGCCTGTTCTCATTGCTACCTCAGATGTCAATAGCGACTTCTGCAGAGGTGACACCTGACCTGGTATTTATCTTACAGTAATGCCCGGCTTAGCAATGCTGTCAGTTTGTGTTCCAGAAAGTTCTAGTAGCCTCCTCCCTGTGTTGCCTGTTGACTCACACACGCACACTTACACACGCTCTCGCACACAACCAAAAACAATCACTGACCTTCCAGTCCCCCATTACACCATTAGTGCTTATGATCAGAGCAGGCGGGTGGCGGCAGCCGCTTTGATGTCTCTCTGATATGACCCACCCTGCTGCAGCTGCTCTCAGCTCTATTTTGGGGACCCTGCTGTGGGCCCTTAGAACAGGGCTTCCTTAACACACACATACACACACAATACATGCAAACTCTCTTGTCATGCCAAGTTATATCACCCACACAACTGTATACTTTCTCAGATCTTGCACAGGTCATTCTGCAGATGGTGGGATGCAGTTAACTTGCTAGAAAAGGCACTTGTCAGACTTTATGCTTGTTAGTCTAATTCAATATTGGTGTTTGTCTGACATCTTATACAGTGAAATGTGCCGCATTCAGCATGGTTTACATTCTTATAGGTGAGAATATGTGCGGTTACAATTGGTTCATACATGGTTGACACAATGATTTGACTAGCATACCTCCTTTCCCACTTTTTAATACCACCAGTTTCAATACCAGAGTCGGTCAAATGTCAATGTATGGGATCATTTATGAACAGTACAATAGCTTAGTTGTAGAGGCCCCCAATGAAACCAGGTCAGAAATTTAGCCATGATAGGGAAAGATGGGGGAGGAGTGTCTTTGGGCGTTTCTTCTCTGAAAAGAGGGAACGGCTTGTCACAATGAATTTGAAGGGTACTGTCCCTTTTGCCTGCAGCAAGTCGCAGTGCCTTGCAAGTCTCATGTTGGTCCTTATCTCATGAACCTTTGCTGGAGAGGAGCCATGGCATGTCACAAACAATTATGTCTCATTGCATGAAATGTAAAATTATTATATGCAATGTAAATTAGAGTATGTATTTATTTCAATAGTCTTAAAATACACCAACAGAATAATATCTATTTTAATGAACAGTTGTTTTTTTCTATTTTGTGTAATGGAATCAGTGATAGTTATAGTGTATCATAATGTGTAAGAAGACATATTAGACTGTCTTTATTGCGTGATTTCAAGCTCAGACATGCTGAAGCTTATCAGCTCTCGTTGCTACTAAACCACAACACCACATACAGTAGTATCATTTGGTGACAGTTTGAACACTGACTCACGCAGCACACATCTGTCATGTGCAATCCTTGGATGGACATAACGTCTGACAAATTGTTAAATCATTAAATTCTTCAGGAATCTTATTACACGCTGACGGCTGACATTGGCATCACGAATGTGCTCGACTTAACAAAAAAAGTGCTGTCCGGTAATGTGATACCTTTATTTACCCAAACACAGTGGTCAGAGTCTCTTAATCATTTCTTGGATAAATAGATGCACTGGAAGCAGAGCTGTTTACCAAACAGAGAGTCAAAGGGAAAAGGGGCTTTTATTTATTTTATCAAAATCTTTTTGAAAATTACAGGCACAGCAGCAATACACAATGCTCTCTGAGTCACTGAAACAACATTATTATAATCATGATTAACAGTGCACCCTGCAATACAATATTGATTCAAAGCCACCAACTTACGCGACCATTAAGACAAAGTGGTTTGCTCATAACCTAGCCACAAGCAGAGAATCAAACTGAGGAGAAATAACATCTTCCTAAATCATAAAATGATCTAAAAAGTCCTTTAAAACATGTTCCTGCTTTTGATGTTCATTTTCTATACAAAACAATGCCATTGCCCTTACTCCCCACATGATGAAAGCTTCAAATGGCATAACAGACAGATAAGTGGATGTGACAACCATTTACTTTCAATAGCCTGAGGCTAATGCGCTGTGTTGAGGCCTTGCTTGTTTGAACTATAATGACTCACCCAACAGGCCCCTATGATAAAACCTTCACCACAACTCACATGTCATTAGATAAACAGACCATGAAAAGGCATATAAGTGAATTGTGTTTACTTTTTAGCTGTCCATGTGCTATAAAAACGTCACTTGGAAATGTTAGCACAAAAAGTGTTGCATGTTTGAATTATCATACACCTATAATAGTTTACTTTAGATGACAGAGTGGTAGGTTTATGCTCTTATAACTGAGATTTGTTTGTGTAAATATAACAGATGAAGTGATGCTAAGCTAGCTATGCAAGGCATGGAAAGGGGATCTGCTTAATACTGATGTCTTAGCAACAGTTTTTAAAAACGCTGGGCACTGATATCCCCTCACTGCTTACAAGCCTTAATCCAATTTTAGAAGCACAACCAAGTTGTTTTTCAGTCAGAAGGTGGAGGCTTGGTCTCAGAGAGGGAAGTTAAATATACACATGAGAAACTCTTGCTTTCATCTTAGTGGGTATGTGCCAGACTTGAGATGCCGATACTGTATGTTCAAGCCAAAAGACACACAGCAGAAAAGGAAATATAATTCTTGATATAGTTGATTTATTCTTCATAAACCAATCAGCATCAATTTACCAAATTTACCACCTATTTAGAATTTATAAGCAGTACAATATATGGTTCAGTCCACAGTAAGTAAATAGAAGTATATATATATATTTAAATATTTTTTATTATAATGCCTCTAATCAAGCATCCATAACTGGTGTATAAAGAGTTAATAAGTGCTCAAAGGTCCACTGTGTAACATTTAGGAGGCTCTATTGCCAGAGATGGGATATACTATTCATAGGTATGTTTTCATTAGTGTATAATTACCTGAAAATAAGAAATGTGATTTTTGTTACCTTAGAATGAGCCGTTTATATCTACAGACGGCGTGGGTCTACAGACAAACCTAACTCTGGCTGTAGATAGGGCCCTTCATGAGTTCATGGTAGTTTCTCCTACACACAGCCAGTTTTTGGTTTCTTCGTTCTGGGCTAAACTTAGTTAAGAATATAAATTTCCTGCTAGCTCACTCAGCCCCACAGAAAACCTAAATTCACCCTCTGAAACAGTGTGAGATGAGAGAAGTCTCTGCAGGTTTTGCAGTGTCTGCTGACGTGAGGGCAGAGGGCACAGCCAGTGCATGACACGGAGTCGCAGATTTCAGGCAGGTGCCGCTGCTGCTGTAACACTACACTAATCCAAGGCTGATCAGCAGTGGAAACAGTACAAACTGACCCCAGACAAACCGGGGCACCTGCCTGCGCTCGCACTGCTAATGTGAGACCCCGACGAAGATACTTTGATTTCATGCCTGCTCTTTTCCCCCCGGATCTCATTATGAGGAGGTCACCATGAGGCCATCTTTGCTGGGAGGCTATGCACAGATGAGGTGATGAACCTCGAAGATACATAAAAGTGAACATGAGACTGGAATTTAAAACATTTTTATAAGACAAGAAATCATAGCATCCATCAATCCAAATCCATCCGTAGATTTCATGCCACTGTACCTGTAGATGTTCCATTAATGTTTGTTGTATAGGCTATGCTGTGCTGTATTGTTTGTATTGTGTTTTATTATACCTTTCGGTAGGTAGCATTGGAGAAACTAGCAAGAGACGGCTACATTTTAAAAGTATGCAACCAAAATATCCCACCCCCTCCCTTCAGGCCTCTCTCCAAACCCACTCCCCCAACACACATGAACATGGAGTGTGGAGCACAGCACATTGTTGTCATTGCTAACCGTATCCAACTACCTCATGTCTCATTTATACATAGTCCATGTTCTACACAGTTCAGGAAAATAACAAATTCCCCCCAAGAACTATTGACTAGTCTTTTTCTG